GAGGGATTTCCATGGCGAATCATTTCAACGACTACTCCTCAGACTTTAAACAGATAACGTCCGACTTGGGATCAGTCTTGATGGACGTATGGATCGTCTTGCTGGACGCCATGTTGACCGCTTGAAGTCGATAGTGGTCAAAGTTATAATGGCAGATCGACCTGGACGCGACCAACGAAAAGTTGGATAGCCTTAGCGAAAAGCTTGACGCAACGAGCCGATAGACAACTTGACGCGCAAAGCCGATAAAGTTTGATAGCCTAGCAAAACGCTTGACGCAAAAGCGACAGCGGATATCTACGTGACGAACGGAAAGGTTGATGACCTCGGACGACGTATGGGACGCATCGAGGCTGGGATTGGAACCCTCAAATGGATAATTGGGGCTGAAGTCGCTGTCATCGGAGTTATTCTCGCCTTCATTAAAGCGTGTTAGCGTGTTCCCTTCATCCACCATGGCGAGGTTGGGACCTCCGCCAGCGATGTGGGTGGCAGGTTCTCCTATCCCGCCATCCATAAATCCCATAAATCCCGGTTCAGACGAATTAGCCATCAGCCAGCGGCGTTCAGTTATCAATCAAGACGTTTCTATAATCCATCCTGTAAATCCTTAAAATCCTGATAAATCCCGTGATCCTCTGCTCAGACAGAATTATTTGAGACAAAAACAGTGCGTATGGGATAATTAATACCATTCAACCGCACAACACGCTCTGAAAGTATCGCGTTTTTTATCAACTCGCGTTTCGAATGAAAACTACTTGAACAAAAACACACGCTTTCGGTAAATCTCTACTTATGAAGAACGTGTTGACTTTTTTTTCGTACTATTTCACATTATATACGGGTGTTAAAAAGGGATAAAATGAACATGGAGATAACCGAGTTCTCCCCTTCTCCGCACAAAGAAGAAGCCGAGCATCGGAACGCTACCCAGTTCCACAACACTGTTTTTTCAAGAACAATTTGACAAAAACGCAGTTTGGTGGGGTAGCAACTTGATACTGTAGGGTTCGTCTAGATCGTAAGGATCGAGAGACCCAAAGCAGACATTTTCACAAGACGTATTTACAATTAATAAAACTTTATACAGTGGTTTGGCTCAACTATAGCGATGTGTTACACAACGCTATAAAGCGAGAATCCCAAACCCAAATTTCCGAGCGTGTTCTGAAGACATCTACCCTTACCGGTAGGCGAGGTTCCCTAACCCCGTAGGCTTCAAAGGCACGCACTAAAGGTTAGTTCAGAATAGATTTCATCCCTGAAAATCTGTTCTTGCTGTTTGATAATGAGGCACACGATGTGAAGTGTGCAGGGGCAAGAATCCCTACTGCCCTACGATATTTGATATACGAACGTTTTTTAGTTTGATTTAAATGGAGGAAAATTAGTAATGTTGTCTAATAAATGGACATTTTCCTTGAAAATTTTAGTTGTGATGCTGGCAGTCGCCTTCGTTGGACATTCCGCAATGGCGGCTGAGTTCGGCGTGGCGCTGAGCGTGGGCGCAGGTGTTGACGCAAGTTCTGCCGATAATATCCAAGTGGATACCACAATCGACCCTGGTGACGATCTTAGTGCTGGTCAAGTTGTCATCAACGTTAAGTTTGACCAAGTGGTAAATACTGATACTCCTACTAACGTTGACGCTGCTACTGCTGATGCTACTAAGCCTTTGTTCAAGCGGGACGACCTTCAGATTATAGCCTACAATGAATTTGGCGGCATAGCGACGGATCTAGCGATTACCGTTGGTCCTGCAGCTGTTGATGCGGCAGATGGTAAGAACTTCATGATAACGTTAGCCGCACCTGCTGCAGACGTGACAAGAGTTCTCGTATTTCTTGCGAAACATAAGGTTGAGGTCGCAGATCCGCGTGCTTTCCTTACGGATGGTGCCAGAAACGATGATGGTAGGAGTGCTGAAGCATCCATAGCGATTTATTACGTAGCAGGAGAACCTGAAGGTGAAGCTGGTGATCCGACGGTGTATTCTATTCGGAGAGCCAGTGATCCGTTGCTACCTGTTACGGCTGCTACGGAGAACGTTATCATCTTGCTCAGTGAACAGCCGGAAGAGTTCACGAAGGATAACGTGGATGTTACAAACGCGACATGGGGCGACCCTGTTGCTTTAGTAGCGATACCTGGAGATGCTGATGGTCCTGATAACTCTTCTGCTGATCCTGTTAACCAAGTAGATGATATGCCGTCTACAGGTCGTGATGATAAGCTGTATCCTTATGTTTTGACGATTACGCCGAAGTATGTGAACAAGGACGACATCGTCGTAAAAGTCAAAGCGTTTGACGATATGGTCCTGCCTACTGCCAATAAGTATCCCGTACCTGCAAGGGAAGCGGATTACGACGAAGGTATGAGCAAGCTTACCATCAAGGTCGGCAAAGAGGCTCCGAAAGCTGGGACTGCAGGACTTCCGGTCGTCTTGGCGAAAGAGCTTTTTATCCCCACAGACGGATACTTAGTCGTCGCTGATGAGGAAGCCGGCTCTGCAATCATCAACCCCGGCGGTGCGAAAGACGCTCCCCTAGTAACCCGGTCACCTGATGGTCTGAAATACAATCTGAATGCCATAGCATTGCCGAACTTGGAAACATTTCTTGCGAATGGCGGTGTGATTGATGTTGTCAGCCCCATGAGTCTGACGATCAGTGAGATTATGTGGGGATCGGATGCGAGTATCGAAGCCGACAATTCAAAAAGTCAATGGATTGAGTTGCGGAATTCGGGTGACGGTGCGAATACGCTTGATGATGATGCCGCTACGGCAGCCGATGAAGCCACACGCTTGATTTTCTACGGTTATGGTCAAGCACCCGCTGCGACACTGAACGCTGATGGCACAATGACATTGCCTGCCGGTGTTAAAGATCGGGTTGGCACCATTGATGCCAAAGGAGCCGTTTGGTCGCTCGCAGGTAAAGGTCAAAGTGGTCGGACGGGTGCTGGCGAAGAAGCACTGCAATTAGCAGCCGTTGTTCCGACGCAACCGCTTATCTCGATGTATCGTATGATGGACGCAACCGGAAACCAGCCGCTGATGGCACATGGCAAGCTCCTGGGATGGCATCCTCACCGCCTGCTGTTAACTTCAAGTTAGATGCAGTGGGTGTTCGATCGCCTCACGGGTGCGCGCCTATCGTTTACGACTGCTGCGCAAGCCGCCCCCGCGCTGATGCCGCCGCGCGCAAAAGCCTCTGCTACTGCTGCTGCGCCGCACAGCGCGATACTCCGTCTCAATGCCGCGAACGAAAGTCGTCAAATCTCAAATCAGCGAAGTTATGTTCGCTGGCGGTGGCACACGCCACAGTGGATTGAGATCTCCACGGTTCTCGGAACGGAACAGGTGAACTGAGCGCGTGACGCTGACGGTCGGCGAATGCGACTGCGGATGCCGATGTTTCTGTCGGTGCCAAGGCAGTGTTCACGATCCCGGAAGGCAGCGAGGTCGATCACGACGTGGTCAGAACGATACGCGTCCACGCTGCTCGTCGTCACCGAACAAGGATCCGCCCGTAACACCTTGATGGAGCGATGCAGCCGGTCAGATCCTCACCTCTGGACGCGATCAGCAGACCGAACAATGAGTCGCTTAGGTGTTACGAAACGTCGTTATCGTTTGTTGAGTCGATATGCGTCCAATGCACATTGGCCCGCCGTGTTCCGATGTGTGGCTCACTGCAGCAAAGACAAACTCCACCGACACGGACAGCAGAATCGCAGGCCGCGAGAGAACCGCTGCAGCGCGAAGACAAGCCGCTGATGCGACACCGCCGCTGGCACGCAAACTACAGGCGACGGATGTTTGTTGTAGGTGGTGGTAACCACCACTCGTAGGTACTGCTGGCACTGCACCTGGCATTGCGAGGACGATAGGGTGCGCTGTAGCTCGATCATCCGTAGACACGTTCAAGTCTCTATCGGTGCTGCGAGCCAGAGAAGGGCATGATGATGGATTCTTGGGCACTGCTCGGATACGAGTTTCGCACAAATCACGCATATCCGTGAGCGAGTAGCTACTACGGCTCCGCGGACGATGTCGGCACACCCGGATTCCGTGTGGCGGTGCGTTGCCTGTTGAACTTGCACACTTCCGTCCTGCCCGTATAAGACACTGCGCTGGTGGTGCTTACCTGTCGACGCAATCGGAGCTGAACAACGCTGGTTCTTCATCAAGCGGAGTCAGCCACGCGACGGACAGTTCGCAAATCATCAATGCACGACAGATGATCCAAGGCGCGGTACAACCAGTGAAAGGCAGAGTTCGCTATCCTACCAGGATACAACTGCTCACCCATGTCGTCTATACTACCAGATAGAGGATGTTTCGCTTGACGGGCATCATCAGACGCTGACGCGTGGCATCCGCCTGACAAAGGCAGGTGAGTGTCGCCGGTAAAGGCGACGATGATGTGGGGCGACTTGAAATTTTTTGAGACACAAGAGTAAACTCAGGATATTTCTAACTACCTACCCAAAACAAACAGAGCGGTGGACTCGGTTCATCGCTCTGTTTGTTTTTATAATATAAATTATAATTTAAGTGTCTGGATGTGGGTGTCCGCAACTCGCTGATTGCGAAAATTTGACAAAAAATACACCTACGGTAGAATAACCTGTAACGTAGGTTGGGTAGAGCGTCAGCGAAATCCAACAAAAACTCGCTACACGTTTTTTTGAAGAAAAATTTGACACCACACCACAAATGTGGTATAATAATTACATAACTGCGGTAAATGGACTTCTGAATCTGATTTGGGCGATTCCGGACACCGCAAAAAAGACTTGACATCTTTTCGTAACTCGTTTACAATTAACAACGTTTATACAAGGGGTTTGGCTCAATCTATAGTGATGTGTTACGCAACGCCATACAACGAGAACCCCAAACCCAAATTTCCGAGCGTGTTCTGAAGACATCTACCCTTACCGGTAAGCGAGGTTCCCTAACCCCGTAGGCTTCAAATGCACGCACTAAAGGTTAGTTCAGAATAGATTTCATCCCTGAAAATCTGTTCTTACTGTTTGATAATGAAGCACACGATGTGAAGTGTGCAGGGGCATGAATCCCTACTGCCCCACGCAATTCGATATACGAACGTTTTTTAGTTTGATTTAAATGGAGGAAAATTAGTAATGTTGTCTAATAAATGGACATTTTCCTTAACAAGTTTAGTTGTAATTTTGGCACTTGCACTTGTTGTACCTTCTGCAATGGCTGCTGAGTTTACTGTCGGGCTTAGTGTAGGTCCAGACGTTGATATAAGCAGTCCCGATAATATCAAGCGGCTTATGGCGCGGCTATTGAGATTAAGATTGCCACGGGTGCAGTGGTGCAGCTTGCTGCTACCCCTGCTACTGGTGATACTGCTCAAGCAGACGCGAGAAAAGCAACAACACTCGAGTCTTAGATTTTGAGGTTATCGCGTACAATAGTTTTGGAGGCACAGTGACGTCTCCAGATCTGAGCGATCTTGATGTGGTGCCTCAAGCCGATGGTAAGAGTTTCATGATGAATTTAGCGTCAATTGACGTTCCTGGTGATAATGCTGTTGCTGCTACTGTTATAACAAAAGTGTTGATTTTTATACCGAAACATGCGTTTGAGGTTGCAGATCCGCGTGCTTTCCTTACAGATGGTGCCAGAAACGATGATGGTAGAAGTGCTGAAGCATCAATTACGATTAACTATGTAGATGCAGACGCGGGTGATCCGAGGGTGCTTTCTATTCGGAGAGCCAGTGATCCGTTGCTACCTATTACGGCTGCTACGGAGAACGTTATCATCCTGCTCAGTGAACAACCGAAAGCGTTCACGAAGGATCACGTGGATGTTGCAAACGCGACCTGGGGCGATCCTGTCGCTTTAGTAGCGTTACCTGAAGATCCTGATGGTCTTGATAACCAAGCAGGTACGGCACCCCCGGATACTGGTCTGGATAACCGTGAGGCAGAAGCTAGAGCGCAGTATGCAGATAACATGCCTTCTACCGGACGAGACGGTATGGTGTATCCTTATGTTTTGACGATTACGCCGAAGTATGAGAACAAGAACGACATCGTCGTAAAAGTCAAAGCGCTTGAAGATATGGTTCTGCCTACCGCAGGGAAGTATACCCCACCTGCAAGGGAAGCGGATTACGATGAAGGTATGTCCAAACTCACCATCAAGGTCGGCAAAGAGGCTCCGAAAGCTGGGACTGCAGGACTTCCGGTCGTCTTGGCGAAAGAGCTTTTTATCCCCACAGACGGATACTTAGTCGTTGCTGATGAGGAAGCCGGCTCTGCAATCATCAACCCCGGCGGTGCGAAAGACGCTCCCCTAGTAACTCGCCGGTCACCTGATGGTCTGAAATACAATCTGAATGCCAAAGCATTGCCGAACTTGGAAACATTTCTTGCGAATGGCGGTGTGATTGATGTTGTCAGCCCCATGAGTCTGACGATTACTGAGATTATGTGGGGATCGGATGCGAGTCTCGAAGTCGACAATTCAAAAAGTCAATGGATTGAGTTGCACAATTCGGGTGACGGTGCGAATACGCTTGATGATGATGCCGCTACGGTAGCCGATGAAGCCACACGCTTGATTTTCTACGGTTATGGTCAAGCACCCGCTGCGACACTGAACGCTGATGGCACAATGACATTGCCTGCCGGTGTTAAAGATCGGGTTGGCACCATTGATGCCAAAGGAGCCGTTTGGTCGCTCGCAGGTAAAGGTCAAAGTGGTCGGACGGGTGCTGGTGAAGAAGCACTGCAATTAGCAGCCGTTGTTCCGACGCAACCGCTTATCTCGATGTATCGTATGATGGACGCAACCGGAAACCAAGCCGCTGATGGCACGATGGCAAGTTCTTGGATGGCATCCTCACCGCCTGCTGTTAACTTCAAGTTAGATGCAGTGGGTGTTCGGATCGCCTCACCGGGTGCTGCGCCTATCGTCACCACCGCCGCTGCCGCTGCTGCTGCCGCTGCCGCGAAGGCGAAAGCTGATGCCGCTGCTGCTACTGCTGCGAAAGCCGCCGATACCTCAGTCTCGGTGCCGAAGGTCGGTACAATCTACATCAGCGAAGTTATGTTCGCTGGCGGTGGCACACTGCCGCAGTGGATTGAGATCGCCAACGGTTCACGTTCAGAACAGGTGAATCTAAGTGGTTGGACGCTGACGGTCGAGAATGCGACTGCGGATGCCGATGTTTCAGTCGGTGCCAAAGCCGTGTTCACGATTCCTGAAGGTACGAAGATCGATCCGAGTGGTCAGAGCGATACACCGTCAACGATACTCGTTGTCACCGAACAGGGACGTAACAACATTGATGATGGTGCGAAGGGTGCCGGTCAGATACTCAACCTTTGGACTGCGCAGCAGACGGAACTGATTCTGCTGGGTGTGACGAAACGTCGTTATTCATTGTTGAGCGATATGGCGTTCCAAATAACGCTTGCACCCCCGGTTCCGATTGTTGCTCCAGCAGCAGCGACAGCCGCGCCGACAACGCCAGCTGAGATCGCAGCGAAGAGAGCCGCTGATGCCGCGAAGAAAGCCGCTGATGCGACAGCCGCCTTGGCACGCGCAGCAGCGACGGATGTTGTAGGTAACCTCGGTACTGCTGGCACTGCCACATGGGCATTGCCGATGGACGAGGGTGCCCGTAGCTCGATCATCCGTAGACACGTTCAAGTCTCTATCGGTGCTGCCGAGCCAGAAGACGGCATGATGATGGATTCTTGGGCACTTGCCTCGGATACGAGTTTCGCACAAATCACGCATATCCGTGCGAGTAGCTACTACGGCTCCGCGGACGATGTCGGCACACCTGGATTCCGTGCTGGCGGTGCGTTGCCTGTTGAACTTTCACACTTCCGTCCTGCGCGTAATAAAGACACTGGCGCGGTGGTGATTACCTGGTCGACGCAATCTGAGCTGAACAACGCTGGATTCTTCATCAAGCGGAGTCAGCAACGCGATGGCGAGTTCAAAATCATCAACGCGACAATGATCCAAGGCGCGGGTACAACCAGTGAAAAGCAGTTCTATACATACCAGGATACAACTGCTCAACCCAATGTCGTCTACTACTACCAGATAGAAGATGTATCTCTTGACGGGAATCGTCAGACGTTGACACGTGGCATCCGCCTGAAAGGGCATGTGAGTGTCGCCGGTAAACTGACGATGATGTGGGGCGACTTGAAGACACAAGAGTAAACTCAGGGATATTTCTAACTAACCTACCCAAAAACAGAGCGGTGGACTTCGGTTCATCGCTCTGTTTTTTTTGTCAGAATCAGGATTTTCAGGATTCAAGGATTTTCAGGATAAGAGGTGTTTCTTGGTGTGTAAAGTGCCTTTAGGGGATCGGGTCTGCGGAATGGCACTCAGCCGTGGGTTTCCATCGGGGGCTATGCTTGGGTTTATCAGTCCGATTAGCCGCTATAATCCTGGTAATCTTAAAATCCAGTAAATCCTGATTCAGACGATTAACAAAGGAACCTTAGAATGATAAAAGATGAATTGACTTACAACATTATCGGTTGTGCGATGAAGGTGCATAAGATTCTTGGAAGCGGTTTCCAAGAGGTGATTTATCAGCGGGCACTTGCTATTGAGTTTGAACGGGCAGGTATTCTTTTTGGACGTGAGGTAGATCATCCTATTTTTTACCAAGGCGTTGAGATCGGCACGAGAAGAGCCGACTTTGTTGTAGAATCACAGGTAGTGGTTGAGTTGAAAGCCTTAACCGCTTTGGAAGATGTTCACATCGCCCAAGCCAAAAACTATGTAGTCGCTTATGATTTTGAAATCGGACTTCTAATCAATTTCGGAGCATCGAGTTTGGAATACAGACGCCTCTTCCACCCGAAGAAATAGCAAAAGGTAAGCACCTCTGTGCTTCAGAAACTCCCCTATCCTGTAAATCCTCATTCTGACAATGGAGGGAAAAAACCGTGTTGTTTAATAAATTGACCTGTTCCTTAACACGTTTAGTTATAATGCTGGCACTGGCACTTATCGTACCCAACGCAATGGCGGGTGAGTTTAGCACCGATCTTACCGTAGACGATAGTACGGATGTAAGTCGTGCGGAGGGTGTGCAGGTGCAATATGGGTCGCTGGTTAACATTAGGGTTCGTTTTGGTAAGGTGGTAAATCATAATGATGCTATTGCCGCAAACGCTACGGGTGATGCTGGGAGTGGCACCGACGCATTTGCGAAGGACGATGTTGAGATCATCGCCTACAATAATTTTAGTGGCACAGTGACACCTCCGGGACTTACAGCAACGAATTATCCCGCACCATTTGACCCACCTGATGGTAAGAACTTCACTATACAGTTAGCGGCTGTCGGGACCGCTGGCGAGGATCCTAATACCGATATAGTAAGCGTGCTGGTTCGGATACCGAAACATGTCGTTTATGTTGCGGATCCGAGAGCCGACCTTGATGAAGACGGGGTCAAAACAGCGGATGGCAAGAATGCTGCTGGTGACATAACGATTCACTATGTCAATATACAGCCCACCCTTGGTTCGCCGGTAGTCCATTTTATCAAGAGACTGGGTGAATTTGCGCTCCCCGTCACCTCTGAAACCTTTGAGGTCGTTGTTCAGGTCAGCGAAGAACCAAAAGCGGGTACCTTCACCAAAGATCATTTTTCGATCACAAACGCCGCCATCACTCAGGTTACAGCGTTAGGTGCTTTTGACGCAGATGCGGCGTTCGTTTCTACGGGACGAGATGGTAAGGTTTATAAGTATCTTTTGACGATCACGCTGGAGTATAAGAACGATAACCCGGACATCGTCATAAAGATTGGGTCGTTTGAGGATCAGGAGGAACCGACATCCATGAAGTATACTCCACCCACAACGGACGCTGGACGTACAGAGGGTAAGGATATGCTCACAGTGAGGGTTGGCAAAGAGGTCCTGAAAGACGCAATTGTAGGTATAGAGGTCTCAGTACCGAAAGATATTGTCATTCCCGGTGCTGGCGACTCAAGCCCCGCCCAAAGTGGCGATGGTGATAACACTGAAGCCGCCGCTACGGAAACCGCCGCTGAAAAGGCGAAGGCTGAAGCCGCCGCTGCTGCTGCGAAAGCCGCAGATACATCTGTCAGGATCCCGCAGGTCGGTCAAATCTACATCAGCGAAATTATGTTTGCTGGCGGTGGTACACTGCCGCAGTGGATTGAGATCTCCAACGGTTCCCGGACAGAGCAGGTGAACTTGGGCGGTTGGACGCTGACCGTCGAGAACGCCACTGCCGATGCCGATGTGTCTGTCGGTGCCAAAGCCGTGTTCACGATTCCCGGAGGGAACCCGAATCGATCCGAGTGGACAGCACGCTACCCCGTCAACGGTGCTCGTTGTCACCGAACAGGGACGTAACAACCTTGACGGTGCGATGGCAGCCGGTCAGGTGGTCAATCTCTGGACCGACCAGCAGGTCGAATTGATTCTGCTCGATGTGACGAAGCGTCGGTATTCGTTGTTGAGCGATATGGCGTTCAAATAACGCTCGCGCCGCCGGAACCGCACGTAACGCTGTCGGTTACGGATGTGGTCGGCAACCTCGGTGCTGATGGCACGGCGACATGGGCACTGCCGACGGACGAAGATGGTGCCCGTAGTTCGATTCTCCGTAGACACATTCCCGTTTCTATCGGTCCTGCGGAACCCAAAGACGGTGAAATGATGGAGTCTTGGGTGCTTGCCTCCGATACGAGTTTCGCACAATCGACGCATCTTAGCGCACACAGTTACTACGGCTTACCGACGGATGTCGGCACCCCCGGTTTCCGTGCTGGCGGTGCGTTGCCTGTTGAACTTTCACACTTCCGTCCTGCCCGTAATAAGGAGACAGGCGCAGTGGTGATTACCTGGTCTACGCAATCAGAGCTGAACAACGCTGGATTCTTCATCAAGCGGAGTCAGCAACGCGATGGCGAGTTCCAAGCCATCAACGCAACAATGATCCCTGGCGCAGGCACGACAGTGAAAAGCAGTTCTATACCTATACGGATACGACTGCTCAACCGAATGTCGTCTACTACTACCAGATAAGGATGTCTCTCTCGACGGGAATCGTCAGACCCTGATGCGTGGCATCCGCCTGAAAGGGCATGTAGGAGCCGCTGGTAAAGCGACGGTGCTGTGGGGAGAATTGAAGGGGTCAATCACAAAATAGGGAAGTTTGGAAGTTTGGAAGTTGGGGAAGTTGTCTGAAGCAGGATTTACAGGATTTTAGGGATTTTCAGGATTGGGAAGTCTGAACTGTGATTTTGACCAGGATTTTTATGATTTTTGTGATTAGCAGGATTGGGAGTTGTCTGAAGCAGGATTTACAGGATTTTAGGGATTTTCAGGATTATGGAACGTGCGATGAATCGCACTACTACGAACAGCAGGACGGGTTATACCATTTCTGACTGAAATTGTAGCATAAACTTTTAGTTTGTGCCTCTTTGTAGCATAGACTGTTAGTCTGTGCGCTCAGGTGCGGTTAATGCAATATAAACTTTTAGAAATGGTATTAGAAACCTCGCCAGCGGGCGGGAAAGGATAATCGTCTGAAACCCAGCTTCTTTCTGATGGTTGCCGATGGCTGACGGCTGACCGCTTTTTTATCCGATGACTTCTGGGAGGCGTCTGTAAATATCCTGCAAACGGAGTTCGCATCCGATGGAAACGAGAGGCATCACATCCTCCTGTTTATGAAACTCCGTCTGCACCCACTGTGTCTTGATAAGCCGATACTGCTCAACGCGAATCCTGTCCTGTGAAACGAGGATGTATTCTCGCAAGGACGTGAGTTCTTGATAATGTGCAAACTTCTCGCCTCTGTCATACACTTCGGTTGATGGTGAAAGCACCTCTATAACAAGGATAGGGTTCAGAAGCGTGTCGAAGACATTATCCTCAAATTGCGGTTCGCCACAGAAAGCAACAACATCTGGGTAAAAATAGGCACCTTTCGGGCCAGTCTTCACACGCATGTCGTTGGTAATGACTTCACACCCTTGTCCTCTCAGTTGGGTGTTAAGTTCAGTCGCTATATCCAGTGTGATGCGAGTATGCGTGAGACTCGCCCCGGACATCGCGAGTATTTCTCCATTGAGATATTCGCTTTTGAGTGTTGCCTTGCGTTCCGAAGCGATATATTCTTCAGGTGTGAGAATAGTTTGTGCTGCGAGAGATGACATACGCGCCTCCGTAAATGTAGTGTGTTTTGGGTGTTCTGTTATCAAATTATAGCATATCATAGCGTCCATTGCAAACGCGAG